AGTCATCATACTTGCGGAGCGCAGCCTCTGAGATTTCATCTCCAATGACAATGTCTTTCTCGCACCCAATCAATGAGAGCTCCTGCAAAGCCAGCCAGTACATGACACAGTCTGCGTGCATTGCACGGAAGCGAACTTCACTGTGCTCATGGTCAAAAACTGATTTGTAAGCAGCCTCTATGGCTCGAGCGGCCAAGAAGCCTCGAAATTCCAAGGCTGAATGATATTTCAAATAATCCAAGGAGAAGCCAAGCTTGTTGTTCACAAACAGAACATCCGGGACATTCTCCAAAGTGGCTGTGTTGATCTTCTTTCCATCATCCAGCAGGAAGTTAGGTCCAAAAGTTGTGCGGCACCCATAGGCATTGCAACGCATGGTGCGTACAGTCGTTTCACATGGACCTGCCAAGGTGTACACCACAGCTGCCACATCATGCCCTTTGGAAAAGGAACGGTGTCCACAAGGGCATTTGGTGAGTTGGGTCGAATACACTTTCCGAGCTAAGGCTCCTCCAGAAATGGAATACGGCACCTGAAGCAAAGTTGAAGAGGAAGGGATGCCCAGGACAACCTTGAAGAAATAGTACCGTGGATTCAACATCATAGAGGATAGCATGCCGATGGATACTTCAACCTTGTCGTCACCATCCATTTTAATCGCAAAACCTTCTATGTGCTGCAAAGCAAAGAAATGTGAAGCCTGAATGTCAAGAACAACATATTTGCCTTGCGTCAGCGACATGTTTCGGGGGATGATCTGAAGGCTGGCACCGAGTGGACGAAGCATGACACACCCATCAAGAGCTGTAAAAGGACCATCTCGAGGACAAGCAACAGGACACCCAAGGTTCTGCAAGGCCACAACAAGACAAGCATTCTCAAAGCCATCTAAAGATCCATGACCACCCTCAAACTCCAGTGCGTTCTGCAATTCATCATCAAGCTCCTCTAGTCCATCTGATTCTCCAATACCAGGGAAATCCGGATTCTGTGGCGGGTCAGCTGGCATGGCTGATGAACTAAGACTGGAATTGTTGACGCGAGACCTTTTGGCAGGCGATGGAGAAGGCGTATCCAGCTCGATGGTGTCAATGCGCTGGCTTTTGAGCTCCTTGAATTTGGAATCCACTTTTTCCTGCTTGATCTTCATGCTCATCTCATCCGGAGGCAGCAAACGCGGTGCTTGTTGGGTCTCAACTAGCTCACCACCAAACAATCCACGACCGCGAATGGTGATGGTGCGTGGGACCTGTTCTCCGCGAAGCAAGCGGGCAAGAAGTTCTTGGGACCAAATTGAATCAGCATGAAAAGACTCTGGGAGTTCATGGGCCTGCGGATTGCGTTTGTACGCCCTAAAGATTGGCCGTTCAGCTTCTGCAAGCAAATCTTTCGCCTCAGGGTTAGGCCATGGGATGAAAGGCACGCTTGTCGCACCTGTGCTAGCAAGGCGCCAATACACACCGTGATCGGTCAAGACTATAAGGTGCGTTCTGGCTAGGATAGCGGCCAAATCTGCCTTGTCCTCAACGCCAGCAAAAGAAGGAGCGACAAGGTCGAGGAAGTCTTTGTGCTCTATCTTCTGCTTTCCTGAGGCTTGCATGCCCTTCACCAAGTCTTCTTCAATCTGCATGTTGTACGGATTGTTGCAAGCATGCCGACCGGCTCCTTGGTCAAATTGCGCAGATGAATATCTGGCCCAGACGGTAGCATCCTCTTCCTGAGGCAAAGATGTAAATCTGCATCTAGAAACATCAATATATTGATAAAACTTTCGAAAACTATGTATTTGTTTGTACAGATACAGTTACCCCAAGTGTAATTATATTTTGAATTATTTTGACATAGAGATACACAAGTGAAACGTAAAAAGATAACCACAAACATATCTCTGTCGGCGAGGAGCAGACGGGTTGAGGAACGCTTTGAGGAATGAGGCATCCATTTTCTGAAGCAGACCATCATCAAAGACGCCCGGCTTGAATTTGGTGATCGGCTCCGCTTTGAAGAAGTCCAAATGCTTCGCTGTGACGATGCCCGGGACAAGATCTGTGCGTCCAGCTTGCTCAATTTCAAACCTCGACTGAGCAAAGAGGACTGTCTTGGAGCCCAAAGATTTGCCAACCCTTGTGCGGCCAATCCATGTGATAGAATGCTGCCGCATGCTTGGCAACATGTGCACGAGGATGTCGTCAAGGAACCAAGGAACAAAGCTCTTCAAAGTAAAAGGCCAATACTCAATGGTTTTGGCATTTTGTCTACCTTTGTAGTAGTTCAGCAAAGCCGTGGTAACCTTCCCCTCATTCCAACCTTCAAGAGGACCCCCGGGTTGATGTACTTGTTCATCGGTCCATTCCATAAATTGGTTCCGGTTGTTGGAGCGTGGTCCATGATCACGAATGAAGCGATAGCCATTCTCACGGGCTTGCTGATCAATGGTCATCTTCTTCTCGAACTTTGGTTTGATGATCCAGAGGCGCAATTGCATCCCACCCATGCGATCAAGCATATAATTGAAAGCAGACAGGCCTAAACGCACCTGCTGGCCCCAATCGAAACGGAAAGGATGACCATGACAAGAATTCATGCAATCCTTGGAGAAGACTTTATTCTTATGCAAGTAGATGTGCTTGAAGATGTCCACAAACTTCTCATCAGGATTAGGAGGATCAGCGGCTGGCAAGATGACTATCTGCATGCTATAGGGGACTTTCGGCTCTTCTTTCATGTTGAACGGAGGTGGAAGTTCACTGTACTTCTCCTGCGCACACAGTCGGTAGAGAGTGTTGTCCAAAAAGTCCTGCGTCACATTGAGCTTGTGATTGACAATCACATCAGCATACTGTTCGACTTTGTGGCCCATACTGTCCATGTTGCGAAGAGGCAAGTCACCGATCGTCACATCGCCCACAGGACGATCAGACTTCAAAGGCCTGCGTTCGGGACCAATAAGCTTTTGGCCATTGACTTGGACTACTGCTTCGGCAAATGTGAGTTTCCCGTCTTGGTCTCCAAGGTCTCTGTTGAAACCATCCCCTGCACCAAGCTGAAGTGCCATGGTAGGTGACAATGAGCACAAAGAAGACGTCAGGAAGCGGATGAGAGCAAATCAGATTTGAGAGCAAAATCTAGCAGTGGAAGAATCAAATGACATGGAAGTGACATCAACTACTGCAGGGACATGCATGAAAAATACCTTCAATGACAGAAGCCAGCAAATGAAGATCTTTTGTGAAACATTGCTCAGAAGTTGCATATTCAATTCTGACGTTCCAAGGAGATGAGATGTAGAGGTTCAGAATGCAGCAGATAAGAGGATGACCTGTCAGGAGTTCCAGATGCGTTGATAAGTGCATTTCTCCCAAGGAGAAAACAACACTCAAGAAAATAGAGAAGTCTGCAGAGGACCAAAAAAA